ATAATAATAATAATAATAAGGTTTATTTGTAAAGCACATCTTCGGCGCCGTCTGAATTATAGTAAAGTACGCGGAGATTCGATACAAACCTTCCGTATCATGCGTGGTTTGGGTTGCGCTTTCACGTGTGTCGGCATTTTCCAACTCACCGTACAACTTATCTCCAAGTACATCGCATCAAACTGCATGTACCCCAAGGACGATTGGATGTGAGGAAGTATTTTTTTCTCTATTTGGGTCATGGACCCGTTGAATAACTTACCTGAGGCGATTGTTATGTTCCAATTTGTCGAAAAATTCAAACACCGACTTGATATACATATGTTACAGCACAACGTGAACTACGTGATAAATTATCCTTGGAACACCAATGCACGATGTGATTGCATATTTTTCCTGACTGAAAACTTGTTAACATTGTTTCTAATTCTTGAGATTTTGATGTTTCAAATAGGGAGTTAAAATGCGCGAGCCCATTTTTTCCTCAAATTTACTGACTGACTGCCGTTGTAGTATAATATCAGCAAAAAGCATAAGCAACACCAGCGGCTAAGAGAGCATTCGGAGGATACGTTTAAAGAGCAGCAGGTCTTTTTAAGGAAAGCTGGAAAAAACGATCGGAAATCAGTAGAGAATGAGGGGGAGAATTCAGGCATCTATGAATCATCAGATTAGGGCTCCAGATGTGTGATTGGAACGTAACCGACGGATATAATACAGGAGCTTAAATAAGGAAGATGTTTGCAATATGAAGAGTAAATGAAAGATTAGAGAGCATCTACTCACAGTCGATTCTATTCCTTTTGGCTGAGCCAATAAAGATATCTCTATATTTATGAGGAGTTACTTAATAAAATGGGAGTAAAGCCCTTTAGCAAAGCCTTCGCAACATCGCAATGAAAGCTTATATAGTCTTGAGAGTCGAATTCTGAAACATAGTTTTGCTGAGTTGCCGCCACTTTACTAAGAATTTTCGGATTTGCAAGACAAACCTAACGTAAAGTATCCCATCTTAATTGCAGTCCTGCGGTTCTTCTGACTAAAGCATGCTCCAGTGGTCTTTTGTGGTACTCCTACCAAACTTTGCAGTGCTTTAATTTCTTATGACTTCAGCATCGACCCGTTCGTGGAATCGAAGACACCAATACTGCATGAGTATGCATGCCATGTATCCGACATCCCTGGTTACGTTTTGTAAAATCAAATGAATATTTTGCGTAATTGGTAAAAAGAGCACTTTTGGCAACGTCATATCCAACTATTGGGTTAAAAGGAACCGAGTGTCACCCATTACATTAAGGACACAAGAAATTGCAAATGGCGACTGCGCGCCTGGTATCTGTTAATCAAGTGTCACATGCACTCTGCTTTTATAATTTATTTCGGCCAGGAAGCGACTGCGCCGCGGTAATTACGCTGAGCGTGTCGGTGCCGGTGCCCCTGTGTACCTTGCTGCGGTGCTGGAGTACCTAGCTGCTGAGGTCCTTGAGTTGGCTGGCAACGCTGCTCTAGACAACAAAAAGACGAGAATAATTCCCCGTCATCTGCAGCTCGCTATAAGCAATGACGAAGGGTTGAATAAACTGCTTAGCGGCGTCACCATCGCTCAGGGCGGTGTCCTTCCGAACATCCAGTCCGTTCTTTTGCCTAAGAAGACGGAGAAGACTGCCAAGGCTTGACTTTGTCCACTGCCTAGCGGCGTAATAGTGGACTCCACAAATGATTGTATTTTAATTTCTTTTTCTTATTATTCATTCTTCTTGCTCTTATTGTTCGCTTTCTTACGATGAGTAGCGTATTTGGGTCGTTTATTGTGGGGGGACGTACTCCTCAGGCTGCGGGATGTTCCTGAACGGGCGCGCTCTTCGGTTATCGACGACGTATCTTACGAGTCTGCACACCGTCCGCGCATGTTTTACTCGATTCGTTAACTCACCGTAGCTTCCTTGTAAGTGCAGTCCGGCGTTGTAATCACTGCGGAGAATGTTGGTAGAATAATGGTCTTTGCTTGCCTACTTGCACTGAGTTGTAATGACGCATGATGACATTGATGGCCAAATTTTGCGGGCTCTATTAGGAGTCGTGTTGTGATGCACACACTGACACGGCAAGAGGAGGGATGAGATCACCGCACAAGGAAGGCGTATTGCATGCTAGCGCACGTTGGGTGCGTTCGATTGCTAGTGCACAATATATGCGCGAGAATGGGGGCTTGTCGTCGTTTTCTACAGAGTTGCTATCAGGGTACCCCAACAGGGGTAATAGTGCTAATAATACAAGCGGCAGCGACAGTGGTATACCAGCGCCAGGTCGATCGACTTAGGCTCAAGTCGCAATAAGATCTTTTGTGAATCGACCTTGGAAGGTGATTGGTCATTTACGACGGAGGGGGGTTAACGCGCATCCGTGCGCGTGCGCTTAGTGGGCACGAGAGACGAACATGCGACCTACCTTGGAGGCACCCTAGGAGCGCAATCGGGAGGCTTCATTTATGTCTTCGTATGCGATGTCACCACAAGTGTACGGTCAGGGTCCTCGTCGTTGCTATCCTGTCGAACAGCTGACATATGTTGCACGCAAGGGCGACATGCAGTCCTAAAGACAACTAAGGACGATTAGGATTATTGTACTAGTTGTGAACCAATCGGTTGTAGTTTAGCCTTAAGGAAGAGAAAAGGCTTTGTAAAGTTGCCGGGTGATTCCTTGTGTACAGCCTACCCTGGTTTATAAATAGTGTATAAGGTAATGATACTGTAAACGGCGACAACCTCAGAGTCACTAAGGAGAATAACTGACACTACACAGCCAAAGGAGAATGTTATTATTTGTTTAATATCGCCAATTACCATAATAACAATGTTCCGGTACCCAAGGATAGAATGGTTCCAGTCGGACCAAAGGATAGAGACGAATAGGCCCCTGTAGCCTT